TGGCTCAATCGGGAACCGTTTGATGTAAACAATTCTTAATTATTGACTAATCATAAATGTACCAAATAGACATCAGTCAGGACAATAATAGGAGAAAATCCCTCTATCTAACCGATTTTGAAGATTCCCTTCTTATTACTGACTCAAAGTGAGAAGTTTCTTGTCGGATTTGCCAAAACTAAAAATAAGAAAGTCGAACTGAACGCAATGGTTAACGTTACCTTTATGATTAAAGACAGAAAGAAACATAAGTGAACTAATTTAGATTGAAAAATGAATTCGTCGTCGGCCACAAGTGTACCTTCATAATGTAATAGCTAAATACGGTACAGCTAATTGACAACAGTGATGTTTTGACACTGTCCAAACGAACGTCACAACCATCGCGATATTTGCTCTTAAGAATGGACAGTGAACTCGCATACAATAAGCAATTGAATGCAGAGTGAAATACTAACGAAGTGAAACCAAACATTAAGAACATAAGTTATAGTATCAGTAGCAAACATGTTTGCAGGAAAACAAATATACCTGATGAATCATTATAAATTTAGGGGGAATTTTCAGATGAATCGTCAGGTTTCCTACTCTAACGTGATTGGTGAATAGCCTTTCAATGTTTGCTGAGATCTGAAACATTTTCAATATTAAGAACAACTAGGAAATACTTTGAATTTCCTGCACGTATTTGAGGAAGATTCATTGATGAAAATAATGACATCTCCATTTTCATCGCAAAGCGATAAGACACCTTGTTTAGGTTTACACCTACTTCGATGACAGGTCTCTAAATCCGAAACCAACACCTTTGAGCATATTCTCATTACCGCCAATTCCGAAGTATCAGATATGTGATGTATGGAAACAATGTTTACACACTATATTAGCTTCAACCCTGCCCATTGAGAATAACGAGCTGTTTTAGCTGGAATCTGCATTTTGGTAGAACAAAAACACTCTAAATGATGGAAACTTATATTTCTTGTGGACTTGTTGCATTTTAACATTTCTTTACCTATTTTCATCTGTTTAACACACAGTTTCAGGGTTGTCGAATATAACTCGTGCTGAAGTTATGTATTGCTTGGATTTTTCCACCCGCTGTCGGTACAATTCTCCGACTGACTGGTCGGATTCGTTATGCTTTTGTGAAACGAAATACGTTATCTACTCTCAATATTCACTAAGTGCGTTTATTCCTGTATTTTTTTACACTTTAGCGGTTGAGTACATCATGTAAGAATGCAATTTTTACAATGTCTGTATATTTCGTACAGTATGTTAGGATGAGCAACTCTCTTATGCTCAAAACTGACAAATAGGCATAACTTGAAATGAAAACTTAAATAGGGATTACAGATTTATGTGCATACAACTAGTAAATTTGACGAGAACCGCGCCAAAATACTGTACACCACATCCTTATTTATCAGTAAAAAACGGGTGCATCGATACCTATAAGGCAAAATAAATATCATGCTCTCTTTCGAGAGATTCGACAGAAAATGCCTTCAGCAAAGCTCACACTATTTTTTTGAGAAACTCGCTGACTCTAACCATGGAATAGTTTGTATATATATATTTTTGTGAAGTGTTCTATCATAAAATTGAGGGGGAATCGAGCTCCAGATGCGTTAACATTGATATATCGCCAAGTTTTTTCAACTCATTGATAACCTTTATAGTCTCAGAATTTTGACATCGAATTTACACGTAACGCTTTCATAATGGAAGGATACCAACCTAGTCAAATCAGAAGTCAGGTAAGAATGAGTTCGAAGATATATTTTAAAGGTTTTCGATTTGTTCAGTAGCATTTGATATAAGCTGACTAGTAGTTACAATAGATACGTAGCACGGTATACATACTCGTGATGTGGTGTGAATGCGTGACCGGGTGCCCTCAGTCAGTATGTGTCCAGTAAAATTAATGAGGTCGACATTAACGTTGTGGACTTACAGAACTATTTATTTTTCGGATTTATTTGCCGACGCAGCTCACCGCACCTCGTGGGGTAGTGATGACCGTAAGATGTAGATAGGCAGAAGTTTAAACTAAACGAGCTTGTAATCGGTGAACACTATTTGGATAGCTTGCAGTCGATGAAAACTTCTGACAGCTTGCTATGTTTAACAGCATAGGGTCGTCTTGCACTTATATACAATACAGCGACGAAAAATTATTAACGAAAGTTTCTGTTAATGATAAACTTCGTCAGTTTTTCATCTTTTTCAGCCATCTTAGAAAACAAGAAAGAAGCATGTCAATGTTGAAATACATATCCAAAGTCTTTTATTCATTTCCTTTTTCGATGTCAATTAGTTTGTTCTCTCAAACAGTAGGCTGATATTGATGGTTTCCAGTCAACGGACATTCAGTAGCTTACGTAGACAATTGATTATAAATATCTGTGCCTTTCAGATGAAGGTTGTATTCATCGGCATTCGCTTGTGTGTATGGGATAGAAGTACCAGGTCATCTGTGAAGTCCAAATCGTCTAGTTGCACCCAAGCTTTCCATTGTATTCCATGCTTCCTCTCAGATATGGAGGTCTTCATAATCCAGTCGACCACCAGAAGAAAGAGAAAGGGGGAGAGTAAGCAGTCTTGCCTGACTCCGATCCTCATTTAGAATACACTGGTCAGCTGTCCCCCCTGCACCACTTTGCACTTAGTCCATCCTATGAATTCCGTATGATGTTGAAGATTTCCTCACCTACTCACACTATATTGTCGGAGAAGGTTCGATAAGGTTCTTCTGTTCACACTGTCAAATGCTTTCTCACAGTTAAGGAATCGGATGTATAGTGACAAATCTCATTCGATTGGTTGCTCGACAATGGTCCGTAGTCTTGCGATCCGGTCTGTTGTTCTCGGAGTTGGACGTCTACTGAATCTTTCATCGGTTCAGCAACACTCGGTTCAAACCTTTCCTGTTACCGATAGTAGTGTGATGCCTCTGTAGTACTTGCACTTGCTCAGATATCCTTTCTCTGTATATTGTTCTTCCTCCAAATTCATTCTGTATAAAACATGGAGCATGTTAGCGGTTACTTCTATGTTCAACTTCAGTGCTTCGGCTGGTATGTTGTCAAGTCCCGCCGCCTTCTTATTCTTCATTTGTCTGATGGCCATCCTGATTTCTACCATAGTTTTACAGTGACAGGTATACGATGTTCTGTCGGTGCTGCTTCAATGTCCGGTAGATTCAATGGGGCTGGTCTATTCAAGACTTCCTTGAAGTATTCTCCATCGTATGTTCCTCAGTTCTTGAATCTCGGTGACAGGCTTGCTCTCTTCGTGCTTGACTCGTCTCTCTGGTTCACTATATTTCCCGACAAGGTTCTTCATCTTATCACATAGTTGTTTCATATTTTCTTCTCCTGCAACTTTCTTCGCTGTCATTGCTAGATCTTCAACATATTTCTGCTTGTCAGACCGAACTCTCTCCTTCATTTGCTTGATTGCGTCTCTGTATTCAGCTTGTACATTGACTTGCTCCGTTCTTGTCCGGCTGTCTTCAATTGATGTCTTCTTCTTCTTCTTCCTTTCTTGAATCCTGTCCAGAGTTTCCACGGAGAACCATTCCTCATGATGATGCTTCTTGTGACCCAGAACCACTTGATACGATGTAGTTAGTGCCTCTTTCATTCCTTTCCTCCATAGTAGTTTCTTCGTCTTTGAGTAGATCTTGTAAGTCTTGAAACCTGTTGTTGAGAGCCATCTTGAATTCGTTGAGTTTGTCATTATCTCGAAAAAGTGTCTACTGACCCTTTCTTATGTTATTTGTTCAGTTGCCCAGTGCTTCTTTAACTTCAGCCTCATCCTGGCAACCACCAGCTAGCGGTGATCTTAAGCTATGTCAGCTCCTCTCCTGGTTCACACGTCTTCTATTGACCTTCTGAATCTTTAAGTGATGCGAATATGGTAGATCTGGTTCTGTGTAGTTTAACCCGATTGAACACATGCAGATTTGTGTATGCGTTTGCGTGGAAATACTGTGCCGCCTATAACCATTTTATTGAACGCACATAAATTTGCAACTCTCACATCATTCTCGTTCCTTTCGCCCAGTCGTTCGATGCCGTCCCATGATATCTTCATATCCGATGTTGTCAACTCCAACTTTGGCCTTTAGATCTCATCAGGATGGTCAGTTCCTTTCTTCAGCACTACACTATGATCAATCGCAACCTCTCATTAAACTGATTTTTGTTGTCTCCATTGCTTTCATTGGTGGGTGCATAACACTGGATAACATTTACTGTGATTCCTTCCTTTTTTGTTTTAAAAGATGATTTGATGTTCCTGGATCCACGAGATTCCCTTCCTGCATGTGCTTTCCTTTCTTCTTTGGGTAACATCATAGCAATTCCCTGAGTGTACGGAGCATTCTCCTCTTCTTGCCCTGGATACGGCAGCATCTCTTCCGTACATTACCTTTGCTATCTAGTTCGAGTTCAGTGGGTTTCGCTGGTTTCGCCTAGTTTTGTCCCACATTCCCGTAGCTACTTGGTTGACCTTCCGGTTTTCCATATTGTCCGAACATTCCGTGCTTTCACTGTAACGGAAGGAGGACGCTGAAGTTCCCCCAAAAGTATTTTTGTTGGACAGTACTGTCATTTATTTGTTTATTTTCCCTGTCGTGTATTTTAACCTTTGTTCAGATATCTTTTGACCAAATTTGCGTTCTTCAGTCTTCATATTCTGACTTATTATCATGTGACTTTGATTAAAGACAAAATGAGGTCACGAGTAGTGGCTAGTTAAATGAACACGCTACTTCTGTTTACCAAAGTTGTAGTCGTCGTGAACAATTCATGCTTAAATCTTGGCGAAATCCATACTGATCAGTATAAAGACACCAAGAAAAGACTTGTGGCTTTGGAGAGGCACTTATCGGACACTTTTTTCAGATTGTTATGTTGAAAGTCCTCTTGATGTGGCTGTGGCATGCGTCACAGAATGTACAAAAACTAAAAAAAGTAAAAAATGAGAACATGTCAGCATTTTTACAAAGATTTCTCAATGTAGCAGTATGTTTACAGTTATATCGTCGTAAACCGGAAGATTTTCCATTTTTCAGTTCATCAGGTCACGGAGCATTTGGTCGTGTTCAACTTTTTCGTGAAATTACAACAGGTTGTGTATGTGCTATGAAAGTAATAAACAAATCTCGAATGCTTGCACAACACACAGATTATTGGGCCGAAAAAGAAATTATGTCACATGGTGAAAGTCCGCGGATTGTAGAATTATATTATGCTCATCAAGATTTAAAAAATTTATATATGATTATGGAATATGTTCCCGGCGGTAATCTTGTCAGGTGGGTGGATGAAGTGGAGTTCATGTCAGAAGCAGCTTGTCGATTCTATGCAGCTGAAACAATTCTTGCTTAAATTGGTTTACATGCAATGGGATTTATTCATCGTGATTTAAAACCGGACAATTTATTATTAGATGCCGGTGGTCATTTAAAATGAGCTGATTTTGCTACTGCTATACGTGTTGATCCGAAAACTTCATTAATTCACTGTGATGCAGCTGTTGGAACACCAGATTATTTTAGTCCAGAAGTTCTTTTATCACAGGGAATTGGTGGTGGGAGTTATGGATTCGAAGTGGATTGGTGGGCATTAGATGCTGTTATTTACGACATGCTTTATGGTGTTACACCATTCTATTCAGAAACATTGGTCAATACTTATGCTAATATTGTGAATCATGCAAATATTTTGAAATTCCCTGAAAAACTAATGTTTCCGATGCTTGTTTGGACTTTATAAAGACTTATCTTTTGACACCTAATTTTCTATTGCATGTTGCCGGACTATTGACAATAAGGTTGTGTTTGACTAAGCTCAAGGTCACAGTGTGGTTCAGTGTGTGACTGTTAACCTTTAACTGTCTGCTTGGGAGGATTACTGAAATCCTTGCAGATAGATCTCTGATCCCATCTTGTTGGGAATGTTTTTACTGGCTATCAAGTATGAAACTCCCTTGTATTTACTGTTTCTTTTGTTGTTTAGCACGCTAATTTGTGTTAGAGAAACTTTTGACTATATAGTACAGGTTGTACCGTTTGAGGTATTTTGTATTTTGATATAATTATTTCTATTTTCCAAACTAGAGTATTTTAAAATGAGCACAGAGTTTGTGGTTCGATATAATTTAATACGAGTAACACAAAAACGCTTCGTACGCCATACAGAAAAACGTAGTCTGGTCTAATCGAATAAATTTGGGTTCGTTAGTTCTGCTGTTCAGTCGTAACATTTATATTGATTTTTGATGGAGTTTTGTTCTCTGAGCTGGATGGTTTGGTCGTGGAGCTTTCATCGTTCTTCTGAACGACATCATCAGCACAAACTTCAGATATTGATTTTTACCCTGGTTGTTAGAAGAATCATCCGCTTCGTGAATCACGACGAATCTCGGCTTCCTTCATGGGGTGTCATAATTCTTCCTTCAACCACAAGGACAGATTTTAAATGATTTAATATGTTTATCCTGGTTAGTGTTTTTCTTTCAAGGATGTTTTTTAATGAATGAGGATTCTGACCCCATTCTTGGTCCCCCTCATTTACTCGAGCGTTGATCGTTAGTAGCCCTAGGATAACTACAGGAGGAGTTAAATCTTAACTACAGTCAAAGAATAAACGCTGAGAGTGAGAATCATGGACGATATAAAACGTCGTTACATGAGTCTCAGGTCAAAAGTAAGGTACGATATCGGAGGACAGAATGAAGCAATAAAAATACCGTCCAAAACACTGTAGATGTGCACCTACCAAGTAGGATATGGTAGACTTTGTTTCCAAAGAGACTAGGCTTGACATCAGTGATGTTAGAGTATGAAGGGAAAGTCAAGATTCCCCAAGGAGATCTAAGGTGTGATGGCCGTTTTCCTTCGTCAAACTGGGTCCTGACCTCCATCTATTAGAACTAAAGAGAGTGACTGTCACGCCTTTAATAGTCATAAAATCCGTTGTTGACGAATCCATGAATTTTCAGATATCATCGAAGCGGAATGTTACGGATTTGACTTCACAGTATTATCATAAGTTAAGATATATTGGTTGTACACAGATAATGGTAGCAATCAGAAAAAGGTTTTGGGTAATAATAGGGGACAAGTCATGAAAAGGTTGGTGAGAAATTATGCTTATTGCAAAAGAAAGGACGTCTGTCCTGTTCAGCGACTGATTGGACTATCACCATCGGTCATAGTGACCGACCGTTTTATCAGTTGAGGTAGATAACTTTCGACCGATCATGGTAAGGAAAGACAGAAGTCTCGAGACTCGCTACAGATGTGTATTTACTTGTCTAGGATTGAGAGCTATGAATCAAAAGATGGTGTACAGTTTTACTGCTGACTAGTTCACCAAAACGCTAGTGAGGTTTTATGGCAGCGGAAACTTTTTAAGATAGATATGTAGTGCTAATGGATAAAAGTTGGTTGGAACTGAACGTTATTTAGGGAGATGTTCTTGGGGCTGGATATAAAAGCACATACATACTGACTTGCTCAAAGAAGTCATTGGCTGGCATTTCAGTCTCGCTGCTGATAATCACTGAAGAGGAGTCTAAGAACTCAAAATTCACTCTGTTTGTAGGGTACTTAGTACCTTAGTTTATGAACAGACTTTAGCAGATGATTACCTTGAAACATTCATGCTAGAGCCCGAATGTATTGATAACAGTCTACCCCTGGTTAATATTACAGATGACACGAATGATCTCGAGGGCATAAAACCAACTATGCTGTGTGAAGGGAGAACTGTAGACATTTGGTTGATTTAAAACTTTTTATTGTAAATTAATAATTTTACTGTGTTCTTTGCGTGTATTTGTTTTAATTAATTTTTGAAATTGTTTGTTTATATCTTTAATTTCGGAAATTTTGGTTTCTCTTTGTCATTGGTTTGGTATTTTGGAGTTTTTGCTCAGGGAACCTACAAAATTGAAGGTTTGTTTTGTAATTGTCATAATGATTGTTGTTAGAACGACATTTGGGTCGACTATTTGTGAATCGCGAATAAACTTTGATATATAAATTGGAGTTTGGTTCTATTGTTAATTTGGGTTCGTTAATTGAAAATAGATCTATATACCATACTTCCATAACGGGAACGAGCAAAAACTTCGACGTAACATGCTGTAACTAAGACTGGACTTATCCTACCTACCAATAATTGAATAATATGGTTTATATGGATAATTTGGGACCAACACAGCTAACTCTGAATAAAATCTCTCCATGAATTCAGCTTCCTTTTGAATACAAACAGGCTGATAGTTTTCGCAAACATGTTTCAGTTTTTAACAGTTCACTGCAAAAGTAGTCAAATTCGTAACCATTTTGCATAAAGCTTTGAAGTGCTGTTTGGAAATCCACGGAACAAACTAAATAAATCACAAATCCTCAATTAAACTAACAGTCACAATCCTGAAGTACGATCAAAGAAATAGGCTTCATGCAGTTGCTCTTGCACCACCTAAAACGTGGGGGACTCCCCAGTTGATAGCCACCATCTTGACAACTAATCTTTCTTGATGGCTTAACTATAACGTTCAGTACAATGCAGATTGTCATCGAAATTGAGACCATCATTGGGCCTTGCAAGTTGCCGGACAACCGCTCGTTAATAGATTAAAGTATACATCAAAACATCTAGAGAATTATGGTCTAGTTTGTTATAGGTACTGCCTTAATACTAGAAATAATCCAAAAATTGTATATTTGCCATGATGTGACCATAATAATACTTTATTCTCAAGTAACATTTTGTTACATGGGGCATGCTAGTTTACAGGCAAGATCAACCTGTTACAAAAGGTACAATGTTCAATGTAACAAATTACTCAGCTAGGTTGTTATTTTATGAGATATGAATTTAGATGGTTTCTGTAAGAATCGTATTGTCAATATCACAGTCGGCGAGCTTTATGAAGGCTGCATTGCGACGTGCAACTGATGGTCCAGAATAGACCTTTGTGAAGCCGGGGCTTCTGAAAACCTCAACCTTATATCCCTTTGGAAGATCTGAGGCTTTACTGATGGTTTAGGACGAAGTCACCCGTTCCATATGTGTTTTCGGCGGCATATTTCAAGGGGGCTGAAGAAGGGTGTAAGGAAAAGAAACGACGAGAAGCAGAGAAATAGTTAAGATATGACTACTCAGTCTAATTCTCTTTTATTAAGGTAGTTATTAAGCAAGAGCATTCTAATATGTCAAGGAAAATAGGTGTAAACAAGTTATGAGTGGATAAAGAACTGCACAAATAAAGGTAGTTCAGAAAGAAGCTGAAAATATGGGATTGTGTGTACTTATAAAATATAGTGCTGAAAACAATATTCTGATACACAAATGGCTGTCTCCTTTTTTGTCAAAGCTATTTGAGCCCATCTGTTTTGTAGATTATATAGGAGCTTGAGCAGGCTTTCTTTTTAGCGAGTTGTCTAGTTTGCTTGTAATAGGATTATTCGGTAGGAAGTGAAACCAGTTCAACGTCACAAACACGATTTAATGAGGTATTTTATGTAATTAATCAGCATCAATACCATTAGTCCGTGACATCCCAAGTGATCGTTAGGATCCGTAATTCGACAAAATGTTCTGCCCTACACACATGGGTGGAATGAATTTAGCTCCCCACCATCATGGTTGCTGGTCAGTAAGGCCACCATCCTTCCTTTTGTGATGTTAGGCTCTTTTACGTTTGTGGTAAGTGTGAATTCTGCTCCAATCAAAGCCCATAGTTAGAATGCACTGTCTCTACTAGTTCCGTATTACGAGCAAATCAGATAGTTAAAGCATTTGTATTATGGGCTAGATGTCCATTTAGTATATCACACTGCTATGAATATAACTTATTGTAGAATTTTAAAGAACACAGATTAGATCATATGTGGTTTAAGGATGCTGAGGACTGATGGTAGATCAAAGGATATGAAGGATTATAAGATTGTAAACTTTTCAGGGTAAGAAAAAAAACATTGAGCAAGTCACAAAGATTTAGGACATTTTGAGCTTCTTATGATCGGCCGTAGTTGATCAGCCTTCATTTCATTCTAAACATATTTTATTCTCAAACATCCAAAGTCTATAATAACAAATTATCCTAAGTTACACTTAAACAAATTTACTTCTCGAATTCATTTCATTTTCACCACACACATATATTTGCTTATCCTTTGCAATTAATTGTGACTTTCACAGCACCATTTTAAATTATTATTGCACAAAAGTTTATACTAATATCAAGTTTCACTCTATATACCATTACATAAGTCTACATGCGTTTATCCGAGTTCATTAAAGATTTTTTCCAAATTTTTGGTTTGTTTCAGAGTTCGATATTCATTACACTATTATTATGAACTCTGCCTTGCGTCCCTCCGGGGGCTACTGCTGGACCAAAGCCCGGATAAAGGAGGGGGGTTGGGCATGGGGTTAGCGACCCCATCCCGTGGAAAAATAACTCGCTGAAAAAACGCTAACCAGAAAAAATTATTCGAACCCTTTAAACTCTGCCCTGGGAGTCAAGAGGTCTTCACTTAGGAGACCTATGACTCCTCGTGATGAAAGCCGAGTTACTTCGGAAGTTACGAGGCCGATGCCCCTTCCGACAATCAGAGCAACCATCTATTGAGGTACGTGGAAAGCTTGTATAATTTGGGACACCGTAGGAGCATTCCAAACTGCTGCAGAAATGAGGAGATACAACCTGGAGGTGCTTGGGATCAGTGAAACACATTGGACGCAAGTTGGACAACAACGACTAGCTTCAGGGGAGCTCCTGTTATACTCCGGCCATGAAGAAGAAAATTCCCCTCATACACAAGGAGTTGCATCGATGCTATCAAAACAAACACAGAAGGCACTTATAGGATGGGAATCTCATGGACCAAGGATCATCAAATCCTCGTTCAAAACAAAGAAAGAGGGCATTTCAATGAAATTCACCCAATGCTATGCGCCTACCAACGACTACAATAAAGACGTTAAAGATCAATTCTACGATAGGCTGCAGTCAATCATCGAGAAGTGCCCAACAAAGGACTTGACCATTCTGATCGGGGATTGAAATGCCAAGGTTGGAATGGACAACACTGAATATGAAGAGATCATGGGACGACATGGACTGGAAGAATGAAACGCAAATGGTGAGAGGTTTGCATACCTATGTGCCTTCAATAAACTGGTCATAGGCGACACCATAATCCCACATAAACGCATACACAAAACCACATGGACTTCACCGGATCACACTACAAAAAACCAAATCGACCATATCTGCATCAACAAAAAGTTCAGGAGGACTATGGAGAATATGAGAACCAAGAGAGAAGCTGATATAGCATCAGATCATCACTTGCTGGTCGCCAAGATGAAATTGAAACTCAAGAAGCACTGGACAGTGGGGAGGACAATATCACAAAAGTTCAATACAGCCTTTCTTCAGGATACTAACAAACTCAACAAAGTCAAGATAGTCCTCAGCAACAAGTTCCAGGCCTTTCATGATCTACTCAATGGAGAAGGAACTACTGTGGAGAGCAACTGGAAGGGGATCAAAGAGGCAATCACTTCAACATGTCATGAGGTCCTGGGTCACAAGAAGCACCACCACAAGGAATGGATCACTGTTGGTACACTGGATAAGATTCAAGAAAGGAGGAACAAGAAGGCAGCGATCAATATCAACCGAACAAGAGCAGAAAAAGCCAAGGCACAAGCTGAATACACGGAAATAAACAAACAAGTGAAGAGGAGCATCAGAACCGACAAACGTAAATATGTGGAAGATTTAGCAACGACGGCGGAAAAGGCTGCAAGAGAAGGAAACATGAGACAATTGTATGACACGACAAAGAAACTCTCTGGAAATCGCCGCAAACCAGAACGACCAGTGAAAAGCAAGGAAGGCGAGGTAATCACCAACATTGAAGAGCAACAAAACAGGTGGGTAGAACACTTCAAAGAACTCTTGAATCGACCAGCCCCACTGAACCCACCCAACATCGAAGCAGCACCCACGGACCTCCCAATTAATGTTGGCCCACCAACAATTGAAGAAATCAGCATGGCCATCAGACAAATCAAGAGTGGCAAAGCAGCAGGACCGGACAACATTCCAGCGGAGGCACTAAAAGCAGACGTAGGGGCAACTGCAAGGATACTCCACATTCTCTTCAATAAGATTTGGGATGAGGAACAAGTACCAACAGACTGGAAAGAAGGACTTCTGATCAAAATACCGAAGAAAGGCGGTCTCAGCAACTGTGATAACTACAGGGGCATCACTCTTCTCTCAATACCGTGAAAAGTCTTCAACAGGGTATTGCTAAACAGGATGAAGGACTCCGTAGACGCCCAACTTCGTGACCAACAGGCTGGATTCCGTTAGGATAGATTATTATTATTATTATTATTATTATTATTATTATTATTATTATTATTAGAAGCTTTATTCAACATTATATTTTTGGTACAGCATAGAATTCTCAGCATAAAGTATTGCAACAAGTTTCCTTTTCTTATACCTTGATCTATTGTGATGATAACTTTTGAATGATGACCGGTTAGATGTTAGGAGTTCGGTAATCCACATTTGATTAATGTTCATTCGTTTCAATGCATATTGCCAGCCACCATGATGTCGCTGATTGTACCTTTTTGTATCACGTATAGCGAAAGGTTGTAAACTTTTCATAAACGCGCCTGAATAAATTGTGCGCACATAAGACATAATGATGTGCTAAAACAAACAACAAAACAGATAACTTGATGAAATATCTAGATCAGAGGAATAGGTAGCCCAGATATTCAAGCAGGCCGCCTTATGATCCTGTACAGACCAAATGACAACTCTACGGATCATTGTGGAACAATGTATTGAATGGAATTCATCACTCTACATCAACTTCATTGACTACGAAAAAGAATTTGATAGCATAGACAGAAAAACATTCTGGAAGCTTCTTCGACACTACGGTGTGCCTCAGAATATAATAAATATCATACAGAGTTCATATGATGGATTACACTGCAAAATTGTGCATGGAGGACAGTTGACAGACTCGTTCGAGGTAAAGACCGGTGTCAGGCAAGGTTGCTTACTCTCACCCTTTCTCCTGGTGATCGACTGGATCATGAAGACGTCAAGATCTGAAGGGAAACACGGGATAAAATGGACATCTAGGATGCAGTTGGACGATCTAGACTTCGCATGTGATCTGGCCCTTCTATCCCAAATGCAACAACAAATGCAAGAGAAGACGAACTATGTGGCAGCAGCCTCAGCAGCAGTAGGTCTCAATATACACAAAGGGAAAAGCAAGATTCTCCGATACAACACAGCATGCAACAATCGAATCAAATTTGACGGAGATTTCGGAGATATAAAAACGTTTACACATTTGGGCAGCATCATTGATGAACATGGTGGATCCGATGTAGATGTGAGGGAGCGGATCAGCAAAACAAGAGCACCATATTTACAACTGAAGAACATCTGGAACTCAAAACAACTGTCAACCAACACGAAAGTCAGAATTTTCAATACAAATGTGAAGACAGTTCTACTATATGTGGTGGAAACTTGGCCAACTACGAAAGCCATCATCCAGAAAATACAGGTGTTTATTAACAGTTGTCTACGCAAAATATTTCAGATCCGTTGGCCGGACACTATTAGCAACAACGTACTGTGGGAGAGAACAAACCAGATCCCAGCAGATGAAGAAATCATGAAGAAGCGCTGGAAGGGGATAGGACACATATTGAGTAAAGCACCCAACTGCATCACAAGGGAAGCTCTCATTTGTAATCATCAAGGCCAAAGGAGAAAAGGAAAACCAAAGAACATATTACGCCGAGAAATGGAGACAGATATGAGAAGAATGAACAACAGTTGGATAGAACTGGAAAGGTAGGCCAGGACAGAGTGGGTTAGAGAATGCCGGTCGACAACCTATGTTCCATTGGGGGTAACAGGCGTAAGTAAGTAAATGAGATAAGTGATGCACAAAATAACCACGTCTGCAAAACTGAACCATGCCATCCGATTCACTGAATTGAAAGGATATTTCCACATTCCCAATTGCTGGCCTTTTCTCAGTTTTAAATGTTGAATATCTAATTCCCCAGTTGTCTCTTGTTCACATTTGAGGATTATGTGGTTAGAATCAGTGCCACTACAGGTCTTTGTAGAGAACATAAGTTCTTGGAGGGTAATTTTTCAACAAAGATATTACTTACATTGGCCTGCCATACATCACGTGGGAGCACATGCCGCAGACTGCAATCTTACAAAAGCATTGGCTCATTTGAGGTCAACAGTCTTTCAGTGCTTAAGTGCAGACGTCATCCTGTAGATGATATCTGAATGATGCGTTATAGGCAGTAAGCATGTAAAAATAGAGAGTGAAATATGATAAAAACTTACAGTTGATCGTTTGGTGCACTAGATCAGGTCAACCCTGCGCTAAAGACAATACAGTTATCCTGAGTTCGACAACGCTTTCGTCCGTAACACTCTTATAATCGAAGGATACCAACCTAGTCAAATCAGAAGTCAGGTAAGAATGAGTTCGAAGATATATTTTAAAGGTTTTCGATTTGTTCAGTAGCATTTGATATAAGCTGACTAGTAGTTACAATAGATACGTAGCACGGTATACACACTCATGATATGGTGTGAATGCGTGACCGGGTGCCCTCAGTCAGTATGTGTCCAGTAAAATTAATGAGGTCAGCATCAACGTTGTGGACTTTGAGAAGTATCCATTATGGGGATTTATTTGCCTCTACATTGGCGATGTAACTAGGTATAAACAATTTTCATTTCATCAACAACCACTTGCATGAAACAGCTGTCCAATATCTATATACCTTCTGAGAAACCAGGTCACACTAACAACACCTTATAAATTTAATCCAAATAAAAAGAGTTGTCTAACGCTGAAATATTATAGTGATTCACTGATGCCAGCAGAACACCTAAATATTCAACCATTCTGAAGACGTTCAACCAACGTTAAACATTTAAAACACATTACCCGCAGTGAATTTAACTGCTCAAGGTCATCGGAGCGACGCAGCGAATCTCAACCACAAGTTGACGTTTACTGCCCACACCTTTGGTTTTCAAATGCTTGAAATGCTACAGGTACGACCTACGTCGTCCTTATAAAAGACCCATTTTAGCGCTTCAGACTTTTAAAAGCTCTTCCCAGATTAGTGCATACCTGTGTACATCCAATTCAAACGATTTCAAATAAACAACAATTGATAAGCTCACATAACATAATGAATTTCCAACCCAAGTCTGCTGGTACTAAGTTTATCCTTCCTGACTCTGTCAAACTAGTCAATCACGGCATAAGTGAATTTAAAACACCTATTGTGAACACTATCGTATTGAGCCAATCCATAACATTGCCATCTCTACCAAATGCTATCCCCATCAAATTAAAAAATGATATCAAGATTCGCAGGCGAAAAATGAAGAGACATCAGAAGAAAAGGCTACATAAACGTCATGCTGTGTTGATACGAAAGGAACAGATGATGCGTGAAAAAAAAGAGGAAAGCAAATTACAACAGTTGCTTGAATTTTGGAAGATCCGTTCAGAATCATGGGATCCGGTCGATAAGGTGAAAAATCGATTGCATTTAGCGAGAAGGTCCGGTTATTACGTAGATATACTTAATACTAAAGGCAGTCCATTTTCTAAAGAATAAATGTTTAGTACTAAATCTTACTTTCTTGATTCCCCATATGTTTACGTGAATAAATTGTAAAAATCTACGTTTTAGGAACCAGAAGGTCGGCTACATACCAAAGATTTGTCGAATCCTATACATGCGTCGAAATGCGGTCAAGAAGCGTTGCAGGATATGTTAAGCGGGTTGAGAGACTTAATGTTGCTGTTCTACGCGTGCATGGATCCCAAAACCCGAGGAGTCAGTACTCACCAAGCATCTATCGCTGGACCACAATGCGTCGAAACGTTGCAGCACATGAAAAGCAACAAAGAACTTCTTCAACAGGTATTACTGTTAAATAACTTTAGATGTTAGCTTATAAGGGTCCCACTTACGTTTTCTGTACTGTTACTAGTGACGGTGAAAGTTTTGTCAGGTGGACCGTTGTATATGATGGCTAGTGTTGTAGCTTTGAAGCACTAACAAACCAAGTAGTTTAGAAGAATTAAGTGGATCACCACCGGTTGTTGTCTTAGGCTAAACAATTGCAAAGATATGCCACTGGTTACAATGTTCGACTCATAAAGTGGGTTAACCTCGTATAGCTGTCATACACATGACTTGTTGTCTCATCATATTTGTGGTAAAAATGCCTGCTCCAGAATGTATTCGAATACTCTTTTTCAGCTGTTTAGGGAATAATTATAAGTATTTGGATTTAAGATAAGCGGCCCTCATTTCAAGTTACAGTGTACAGCAGTGCATGCTATCCGCCAAATGTTATGTGGAACACCAACCCCTCAAATACTAATATATGCGCAGCTCCGACAAAATGATGCATTAAAATCACAATCCCGTTCAGATTGTCTTTAATAACGGTATAACCAACCTTTACTTCTAGCTAATTTAACATTTTATGAAAGTTGTCGGATACTTGGAGAGCTTTAGAGTCGTTTTGATTCAACTTTTTAGTGTAGATACTAAATTTCAGTAGAGGCACGTTTTTGTCCATTACGGACTTATTGGACTTCATTTCATCGAAAATTTGTTTCACTTTCATTCTATATTCTATGCCAATATGCATCGAGTTGTAGAAACTAACCAGTTCGTAGACCCTAACTGTACAAGCAATGTAAACATCAACCCTCGTATTGAACATACTCCCACTGCATACAATCCACTATACGCTTTATACGAATATTCATCAATATTAGAACGGATAGTTCGACAAAAATTGGGCGCCGGGTATAGAGAAGTCATATATGGAAAAAATATATTTAAAATAATCTCAGCGATTGAAATTTAAGTGAGCTTTGTTCCTTTAGATTAGCAATTCACAAATCAGTGTGGAGATTTGATCGCTCACGTTCTTTATTCAAAAGTCAGTACGAAACCACTCCATACGTTGAGCTTTGCATTGCTTATTTCGTAAAATGTAACTTGTGTACATGGATCAACGTGATCCATCCCCCATTCTATTTTAGGCCTTTCATGTAGTAAAAGAAAGCTGTGACCGCTTACTTCCTGCTGACGTTTCTGATCTTGTCCCCTATGTGGATACCCCGATAATGAACAGAGAACCAAGTCTTGAATTAAAGCAACTAATTATAGCTCGTGAAAAAGTAATCAAAAGGTTGCTAACAGTAACAGAAGAACTCGAAAAACTACGTCGCATTTTAACAAAGACAGTGTGGGAACTCAATGACCTTACTGACCCAAATGTTCAAAAATTTTGACTACTATTTTGTCTATCATTTGTATTTTGCTTATCTGAGACACAAATAAATGCAAGTTGTTCATTCTTTACTTTTCGTACATCTTTCCTCTTATTAAAGAGTACCCTTTACTCATAGTTATACAAGTTTCTAGGTCGAAGTGCAAGGAATTTCCGAGTTACCAATGCACGAAATCCGAATACTTTATGAACAACCCTGATGTTACTCTTTCTAAACCCAGTGAATTAGATGCTAAATTCTTACTACAGTTCTGTGCGCTTACTAACTTTATCCATTTGGGGGATATTCACTACCTTTAAGACTAACCATTCTCAGTAAAATCAAAAACTGAAATTAAGAAAGTGTATGGATTCATCAGTACTATTTATCATTAATAAACAGGTTTCTGACACTGCATTGACCAAAAAGTAATTCGAACTTTACAACATTAAAAAGAGCCATTATTCAAAAACTAATCTAAAGCGTATTTCCAAGTGTTGGAACTGAAAGTTGTTAGACATCTTTCGCTGCATAAATAGGCCAAAATGTTTGGGGGGCTCTGGCGATCACAAGAAATGTTCATCCAACTTTTATACGACACAAGAATGCGGTAAGGATTCACACCACATCTTAAACGGCAACATAAACAAGTTCTAAATACTGCCAAGCGAATACGCAAACTCCAAGGTAAGACACTTTCAAGACAGGGGTACCTGTAGAACAACCAAAAGGAGTTTTAAGAACATGGAATCACTACCTAAGCGTTACTGAATCGTACTAGGTAACTGTCATTTGAAGTGTACACTATGTCATGAGTCCCGCACACGCAATTAGGTGTAAACACAGTCTTAAAGCTTCAAAATTAATAAGGTTTTTCTAAGTAATTAATTTGTAAATATGAGGGTTTCAGTATAGATGTACTTTTATTTGATAAAGGTAGTGGGATCTAAAAAAAGCACGATAGTCTGGACATATATAATCGAAAGTGGTGCACGAAGAACGACTATCATCACTGTGGTAGTCTACGATTTTCAATGTTTATCATTGCTAAACTGCCATATATAAAGTGGGGATGAAATTTTCTCAAAATATGTGCTTACAGTAATTTTCTTACCAACTAAACGCACACAAAAACAATCTTGATAGAAACAGGATGGCTTATGTGCAAAATAAGTAACCCACAAACTGGTCATACTAGTGAAGTTGGGTTTCTGAGTTGAATGATTTAACTGCAAAGCTTTTATTGTCCTGAAGTAAATCATCAGCGCATACCTAAGAATGAAGATGATTGCTAGGATTTCTCCACAAGTGATTAGTATTTTCTGTCAATACTGAATCGTTTTGCCATCATGTGTTATGTTTTGCACTTCTTCCAACTACCATCGCCTTTGACCTAATTTCTAACTTTGTAGTTATTTATATTTGCAAACGTAGATTTCAATATCCAAAGATATGAACTACTTTTCATCAGTTACTGAGTATCTAGCAAGTGTCAGATTGTAGGGAAACGATTAGTAGTAATGGCTACTACCAGCAAATAATTATGGAATACCTTAACATACTCTGATAATTTTCCATCTTACGAAACTGGAATAAGAAAAATAAGTACAGAAACACATACCAATTACTACGAAGGAAACTTGTTGACGCACAGCTGAGTAACGTTAGGGCAACATCACTCGGTTTAACAACCAAATCGGAAGGTAAAAACGGATTATTGTAAACTACTAGTTGGTTCAGTTGACGAGAAGGTAATATAGATGGCAAAGAGTCCAATTTGTTATCATTCAAAATAAGCACAGAGAGCCGGTCTAACTTGTGCAAGAAAGCAACTGGGACACCTCTCAGTCTGTTATCTGTCGTAAAAGTACAGGAAAAGCACACTATAGTATTACGATTTTGAAAATTTGCTGACAAATAAGTAAATAGAAAGATCTCCACTGGAGAAATGTTTGGTTCTTATTAATGTCTCTACTTCCACTTCTAACTGCTTTCATTGAACATTCCCCTAAAACAGAAGTCTCTTGGTGTAGATAAGCACTGAATCCTTGGTTTTCCAGTTAACGCAAGGTGCATTCGCAAAGACTATATCATAATATTTGTGGGGACAAGGTCTGATGAAAAATCTCATTTACTCTAGTGTTCCTCTAAATTCGATCTATATCCCAATTATAGGACTGTCATGGATATTAGAAAGTTTTTATTCGAGCCATAGAACATAAGACAGAATAAAAAAGACCCTTGATAGAAAATCGTCTTCGCCTACTGTTATGAACACAATAATTTCTTAATTATTTCAATGGTGTGGTATGGCAACTCGAACTGATTTACGTACGTATGAAGTTCTAGGCTGCTGATGACTGAATAACATTTTCGAACCTATAAGTGATGGTTGTAAGGTTTACTAGTCATTGTATTTAGTTGTACTTTGTAAGGAACGATAGAAGGGTACAAAAAACATCCCAGTCTTCTTTTAACAATGTTTGAGCTAAATAATAGTCATTTTCAAAGAGTTTGTATCATAAGCCTTAACTTTGCAACCATATCATTCAAAAATATTTCGATCATACAATGAGAAGACGAAGGTTATCAGAATTATGTGCAATTAAAGTTGTTTCCTAAAATTACGTTAATACTTAGTCTTCTATTTATTAGATGTGCAGCCATTTAAATCTTAGTTCTACTCGGTTCAAACAGTTAGATTAAGTTTCGAATCCTCGTTATCATATGCTAATTACTTTGTTTACCCTTACTATAAACCTTATTGACATCCAGCAATCTAAGGATTGAAATATATGTTTAAAAGTTAAATGAACCTGAAAGAAAGTTTTATCAATAACAGAATATTCTGAGTTCTGCACAATCAACGATCCAGCCCACAAAAAATGCCTGTTATGAAACGTTAGTTTATGTATCACTTCAATAAACAATGCATTTTACGATCGGGTCTATGTGATTGTGTATTAAAAGTAGTAAAATGTTCTCTGGTTAAGTTTTGCTAACCATATTCGGAAAACAATTACTACAGAATGAAAATCTCTACTAGGTTTAAACAGACTATTAACATTAGTTTTGTGTGTGAATACATCTGCCATATTGAAGGCCTAAGAACATGTTTTAACTAAAACAATAGATACATCAGACGCTCAGGCACAAACTAGCGAACAATTTCTATCAACTTATATTGACTAGACTGCTTTTACGATCGTTTCATAATATTCACGTCAGCTTTACTTTTACGGTTGGTGTTTCGAGTTCAAAAATATAAGCTTGAAAACGAACGGATTGAGGTTGATGCCCGATGGAACAATCATGTAAATAATCTTATAATCATAAAAAACATTATTTTTAAAAGGGGTAGTGGTTGTGGAATTCTATAGATACATATACATTTTAACCTAAAAAAACACAACCTCGATGAGAAATTACACGGATTTGTAATAAGCAACTGAAAACGCCTACCTTGAAGGACCTATTATTATGATGAGTATAAAAAATCCAGATAATGTCTAGTTGGAACATATTGCAACTTTGAAGCACGATTAGGTAAGAATCACGCATACAAATAATTTAAGATGAAATAAAATGACTACCAATATGATAAATTAAATGAAGCTCACTTGATAGGTTGACGTTTCTAAGGTTCGTAAGGACCCAAAAATCATCTGGCAACCAAGTTAAATTGTTACTGCTCAAATCGATAAGTTCCAGGGTTTTAGTTAGTGGTGAACTTTCGGAAATTGACGGCCATTGGGTGATGCGGTTTTTACATAAACACAAATGAGCTACATTGAGATATTGTACTTCCTGAGGAATTGTTTCCAGTAAATTAGCACTCAGGTCAAGGAAGCGCAAACTGTATAGTTTGAGAAGTCTTGTATCAAACTGACGCAATCTCAATCCTGCTGCAGCTACTTCATGCAGAGATATACTGAAGCCTTGAGAAAAAGGATAGTCCTCTCGTCTTGTTATAACCAGCCGGCGATGACCTACTTTCCTAACCTAAATGTCTTACTGACTTGTAAAATGATATACTTCATTTGTAGCAGGCCTGTTGCTAAGAATTCCAACAGGTATTTTGTCACCCGATTTTATAAGGTTTAAAATGTTTACTAGCTTCATCAAATTCGAGGGTTCAGCCTATGATAAAAAAAGTGGAATAAGCTTCAGTAAAACCGGGGTTTAAGAATGGGTTAGTCCAGAAGTCTATATACAGGCTTCTGCAAACAAACTGGTGAACTAATGGAAGATGTATAATAACTATTTTCATATGAATTACCCAGAACAAACAAGAAAACTAAGATATAGCAACTTTATCTAATTAAACACCTGTATAATCTATCCTAACAGATAAATTACTTTTATCTTTTCATTGTATTATTTAGATTCGTGATATTGAACATGTCTTTATGATAGTACAAAAGTATTTATGTACTCGTATTTTTCATGCCTATAAATGTTATATATTAAATAAATTGAGTAGAGCAGTTTACCTTCTGCAACTCGCATCTCTCGTTTGCTCGTATTAATGGATGTCTGAAATACAAGCGTCTGAGATTCTTCTCGTATCCAACTTTTAGGTCGACAAGACATGTACGAAATCAATTAGGATATATGTTTTATAAGCGCTAATATCGTTCGATAATACAGGAGTCAGACAAATAAGTACTAAAATGTAACAGTAAGTGGTACAATCCCAAGGCTCTAACAATCGGTAGTGGGAAACTAGTTCGTTTTTTATTAGATTTCTTTGTGTCTAATACATTAAAGGCAGTGAAACAACAAACCTGTGGATTTATTACCCAGACAAACTCAAAAATTGGACTATAACATATTAGTCAGTCAGTCTGCTACAACGTAGGACCAGGCACATATATGCATCGGTTCAAGTTGCCATACCTCAGTAGCACAGCAAGATGAACACTGGATTCATAGAGGTAGTTAATTCAGTGGTGATAATATATAAAAGAAAGATTGCAATAAGGATATAATACATGAAGAAGGAATTAGTTCATAGAAAGATACGAAGCGATTTCAATCTCATAGCTTAAGGGAAGACAGAGAGTGTATACACCTACGCCATTGTGATC